ATGTCATAACATGGAGTGTTTATAAAATTATAATTTGTTTAGTGAGTGATATGACAGCATAAAGTGTCAACATGGACAAAAACAATAAATCCAGGTTAGGTGATAATCTGACATTAATGTGCTAATAAGGCCATGGTAATTATTTGAACCGTAATGGAAAAATCCATTAGATGGTTCAATGAGGAGAGCTGCTATGAGGACAAAATGTCGATAAGATAATAGCATTTGATCTTGTCCATGTCGTGCTGCACAGGCTCTCCTGAGTGAGTCGCATTGGAGGTTGACCTGGGTTCGCTGACTTTGTTTGTCGAAAGTATAGAGTTCAGAAGGTACATCATCGATGTAGCTTGCTGAGTTAGGTTCGTCGTCGACAGATTCACCAATTTAGTGGCCGTCCATCTGACTCCAGATCAAAAGTCTGCATGTTCGAATCACGTCGGGTTCGCCAATCCTGAAGTGGCTTTTCTTCGTCAGTCGATCACCTCGATAACCGTTATAATATAAATCTCAACGGTTTTAAAAATCAGAAGGCAGCGAGAAGCGGCAACTACAGTTTGTTAGCGGATAGCACAGATCACAAAGCTATAAGCACATCGAGCAAATTTGAAGCAGAAAGGTGAATAAGTACATGCGATCAATTGTATAAGAGAATTTGCAGTCAGATTTTACAAGGACTCAGCAAAACAAAGCGAAGGCTAATAATAGGATTTAAATACATGCATACATGGGGAGGAGGATGAATCATCGGTCCATATTCAAGCAATCAACATCTTGTGGAGATAGACCTCGTTCCCTCGTTCTATTATCGTTTGTGGTTGAGTTAACTGATATTTAGATCAAATATTACCTACATTTATAGACTGTTAGTGGGAATACACACCTTATATTGGATCACATTATTGGAGAGTTCGTCAACCAGATTGGAATTATCAAGCATTTTTAATTGTGGTTTCTTAGTAACAGACCAAAGCCGAACACGCATCAATTTGGTGAACTTAAGTAATGTCCCAACTTTCTATTGTATTTGTAATAATTAACCTATATATATTAACATTACTATTGATATTTATTAACTTTGTTGATACTTTTTGCGTTTACATATTGTCTGGCCCACCACAATCTTAACTAGACTCAGCCGTGTGATCTAGTGATCATAACGGTACAAAGATATGTGCGAATTGTTACGGTTCAAATAACATTGTCTGTTAAGTTACCAAAAAGGGTTATCAGAAATGAACCATGATCAAAATTGGTTGTACGATAGCCGATATGCGGTAACATGAAAGAGGTGCTGGTCAACCTCTAATTTATTTTTGTTTTATACAGAATCAATGGTTTGGATGCCGGCTAAGTTCTGGCTAATGTGACGTCATCACCTTTGGTGATGAAAAATATTAGAATCCAGAGGTTATGAACCGAAAGTCCTTCACTTCTGAAAATACACTGTTTGTCATTTTCGCTATTAAATCTTTGACTATGAGTTTACAACTAAACTAATTAAGGGACCCAGCTTTAGTAGGATTTTGTAGTTTATTTATAATCTATATGACACCGTCTTTATTTGCCCTTAATTTTGGATATACAGATTACTCTATTATTACTTAGCTGTTTTGTGTACTAATTTATTTGTCCTAGTCAAGCAGTCACTAGTAGCTCTGGGAGTTTGAACATATCCTTGCGTATACTCGGATGTCCAACTTTTACTATAGGCTGCCTAATAGCTTATTTATTCACCTGTGTTTAACATATTGCTTATCTGACATAAGAAATGTCTCATACTTAATGGTAACAATTCCACTTTGTAATTGGTAGAAAAACTGTCTGCCGATCCTCAAGTAGTCTGTACTTAGACTTTTCAGCCTGTATACCCTCTAGTAGTTCAACTGAACCTTAAGCACTATAATTAAAGCTGAAAAGTGGCTAGTAGTCATAAACTTAAATGAAAACGTTCAAATGACCAGGAAGATCGAACAGCTCAACATTTTCTAACTTAAAGCTCATTTTCAAAATTCAATGGTAGTATGCGAAACGAAAATGATAGACATAACAAAAAAGACGAATGATTGTCACTCGCAGTGTTAAAATGGTCTTCAATAGTGTAGAAATAAGGTTTTTAATCATCCCATACACTGAGATGCGATTGTCGAGTACTTACAAAGTTATTTAACTTGTGCATTAGTTCATCAGTGAGAACTCTTATCGAATCACTTTTATCATTATCAAATTATCCAAGTGAGGACAAATTGTATTTCCGTCCCCAATTTTGACATTTCACCCGGTAACCAGCGGAAATAGTCGTAAATTATTATCGAAACAATGGTAATTTACGATGAATTAAGTGTCTCGTTATCTGTCGTTTCGCCAACTAACATCATAGATGCAGTTTTCTACGACAAAGACAGCACTCCATCACCCTACACATTTCAGAAGTTGCTGCCTAATATGATGAAAGAAAACCTTTGTGTCTAGCTCACCATTTTGTTTGTTAGATGCTGAGTAGTTTTTCGGTGATGTTTATGAACTTTAATGTTGTATCAGACCAAAGCATATAATCAAAGACATCGAAGAATGAAGTAGGTAATGAGTTGATTTTCGTTCATACGCACCAAGATTGCTGACGTGGTTCTGTTACTTCCTTAAATGGATGCTAATCGTTTCAAGACAAGAATCTGCTTGAGTTTGTTGTCTTGTCAAACATGGTGGCTATGCTGAAGGATGTTGATCGGGAATACCCAGTATTCGCTTGTTGAATTGCTCTCTTTCCCAGGTATATATGAACTAGAATCTCATTATTAGTTTTCGCCTTCCCTAGCTGAGTTTTATTCGATCTAACTATAAATTTGCCTCAGTATTTCTTCGCATACGCACATTCTCCTCTCTGCTTCAATTTAGTTCAATGTGCTGATAACTTTGTCTTCTGTGCTATCCCCTAATAAAATATAGTTGCCGCTTCTTATAGCCTTCTGATTTCAAACACCACTCAGATTTATACAATAACGGTTACAACGGTGATTGATTAACGAAGCAGAGTTATTGCAGTAACTTAAATTCATTAGTTCTCAGCAATAGGATTTCTAATTCATATGATTATCCCATTTCCAGATTCACCTTTTTTGTTACATGAAAACGTCGATAAAATAAAAATTTCCCAACACCTTTAGCTATTAGGGCCAGTATTTCTAGTGCAGAGCTACACTGTGGTATCGATCTAAGCGTATAGCTTCCATGAAATTCCGAAGAAGAAAAGTTGAGTGCTTTAGGAGCATTGAAGCAGTTTAGGAATACTGAATATCCATTGCGATTTCGGTGAAGTGAGGATAAACTTCACTCTTGTTTGCAATTAGAACCTAGTGGCCAACCAATGTAAATTGGGGCATTCTTATAAAAACTATCACAATCCATGATGAAGGGTTTGTTTCGCTATCTAATGTTTTTGCTGGCCTAAGTGGAAAATATAAAGTTTTCTACCGCGAATTTACCATTCCATCCAAATTCCCTGATAAGGCCAAGAATGGGAAGTGTCTGTCCTCCCTCTCCAAATGCTCTTACATGGCCATGCGTATTTAGCCTCTGCCAGGAAAGTCTTACTAATTCCGTTCTCGTGGCGAGGATGTTGCTTACGGAGCTGAGAATGTCCTGCACTTTAACCGGGTTGATGGATATAGAGAGTTCATCAAGAGGAGTCGGAATAGCTTGATTCAAAACCAATGGTGCATATGAGCTAAAGGATTCTAAGGAAATAAATGGCATATGAGCCTATTGTTGGTCACCGGCCATCATGTGACTGCATCCCCTTACGTTGTTCCATTGCCTTGTGGATCAGACCCTAAGATCAAAGGCTCGGGGTGTGGCTCCCTAAGGAAATCACCTGTTTCGGTCTGGGCACCCGGGCAGCATCACAGCCCTCAGACAAATCCAATGAGACTTGTATGGTGCATATGTATCCGTTTCCTTCTTGTATCAGTATCTATGTGTTCAAAGCTTAAGTAGGTGTTTAAGAGGATGTCCAGAAGTGTTAAGAATACTATAAGCCATTAATAAATCACCTCTAAGACGCCTATATTCTAGTGGGTAAAGGTCTAGTGAACGGAGGCGTTCTTCGTAAGGCTTAGATTTGAGTCCTCGAACTGATTTCGTGGCTCACTCAAATCTAAGCCTTACGAAGAACGCCTCCGTTCACTAGACCTTTACCCACTAGAATATAGGCGTCTTAGAGGTGATTTATTAATGGCTTATAGTATTCTTAACACTTCTGGACATCCTCTTAAACACCTACTTAAGCTTAGTTCGAATAATAACCTAAGGGGTAACACCTAGAAACTGGAAACACAACATAGCAAGACGGAATGTAGACACAACTTCTACTCCTTAAGAGTTGTCAAAAGCTGGAACCCGCTGCCGGCCGAGCTAGTCCAAGCGACTTCTCAGGAGTCCTTCAAGAGGCAACTTGACCTATTCTTAAGGACCAAGGACAGCATCGCACTATGATTTACCAATTTCTTTTCCTCTTTTATTGTTAACATACCTAGGTTCCTGCCTGGAGGATTTGGTGATCCCCTGCTACTAGACACGGAAGCCTGTTAAGCGAAAGCTTCTTCTATTCCGTCCACAACCATTTGAACCATTTGAACAAGTTTGGGGCAGTCAGTCATGATGGAAGAAAAACTACAACTAAGCAAAGTCGTAGTTCCGATTAAACACATGATGGATATTGCTTCAAAATATCTATAATTTATTAACCAAGTAAACAAAAGCATAACCGTAATTTCCTACTACGATACACTTGAATTACTTGACAACGTAAAGTTTATCCCAAAACATTTGTTCATTATGCTTCCTGTAATTTCGAGGTAAAACTCAGCCTTTGCCATGGCCAATAATTGTGTTCTGTTACCCAGACATAGATTTTCATAGATTAATGGTTCATTAATACAGTAAGGAGAGGTATCAAGTTTTGGTGTTTGAAGATTTGTGCGATAGTTTAACTGTGAAGGTCGCTGATGAGCCTGTCATTCAGAAGAGCTTTATCAGCAAGTCGTTATTTTTTTCGTTCACAGCATACTGAAAGTTAGTTTTTTCTACAAAAAATATATTCCTAGATTTCAGTAGGTGTTGTAGCTCACGAAAAATTTGGTGATGTTGAAAATTATCATGGACACATCAAAACCAGTTTGTTACAAAAATGTATCCTGAGTCTTGGCAGTGGGATTGGCTGTCTGATTAACCCAAGAAGAGCTGGTAACTGACTCTTTCGTCTTCTATCCTTCAGATCTGCTCAGCACATTTGGAGAGACTAGTGGGGAACTCGCCTTGCGCCAAATATTCAATCGAATGCTGAATCATCCTGATGGTTGTCGCATATTACGGTATACATTGCTCCTTTATTGACTTTTAGTGACCGACCAACTATTCGTACTAACACAGTTGATTTAGATAGCCTTCGTAAGCTGCCTGAGGGTACGTTTGGGAAAGCGTATACGAAGTTTCTGGATAAATATGTAGGCTTTAGATTTTGATTGATCATAGCCTCAGGGTTATTCACCTGATGAAAGACACTATGTTAAATTTGTAGATGACCAAGATTTGGCTTACGTCATGCTTCGGTACCGGGAAATACATGATTTGGTTCATACTTTGCTTGGTCAACCTACTGACATGCTTGGTGAAGTCGTTGTTAAATGGGTTGAAGGCATACAAACTCTTCTCCCTATGTGTTTAACTGGTGGTTACTTTGGTTCTCTGCGTCTCGCACCCAAGTTAGTACTTACTATCAATAATACATAAATAAATTTTGCCACTTGTTTGTGTCGTTTAGGTTATTTACCCGAATACATTTTAAATATCCTTTTTTTGTTTATTTCAGACAAACAGAGCGGTTCGTAGAAAGCCATCTAGAGTACGCAATTTATACTGGCAGAGAAGCTCGTTTTCTAATGTGTGTTTACTTTGAGGAACATTGGGAAGATAACTTGGAAGATTTCAGGTCATCCTTAAATATTCAGTCGCCGCCACCCCCCAGAAAACTGGATTGAGATGTGTTTCGAAGCACTTTCAGTTGTGACTTTGTAAATAGTGTGGTTCGCTCTGTTTTTCGCCAAGCAACGTTTCATTACAAATGTCTTAGAATTTTTAACTAACGTGAAGTATATGTCTGTAGTTAGTTTGCTTGGAATTTGTGTTGCCACAAGATAACATTGTGATAGCTGATTATTTAACCCGATCTGTTTCGTGGACTTTGGCACTTAATAAAGCTTTAGTACTGTATCAACTGGTTTTGACTGTTATAACTTTATAAATGTATAAGTTCCTGGCATCACTTTAGACTTCGTCATGTTTGATCACTAAATTTATCTTCTTCAGGTTTGTTGTTTTAACAATACAACATTTTAAATCCGGCAGTTGCAACATTCAGTATCGGGAAATTTTCTCTCAACTCAGTTTCTAAAGTAAAAGGATGATCTTTTTTAGTGATATTATATTGGTGTAATACAACCTATTGTAATAGAACACTATCTTCTACATCGTAATTATTTATCCAGTGGTTTTACCACGACTTCCTACCGGTTTTCAAGAGTCGTACCATGATGCTAAAAACACCTCATATATATATATATATATATATATATATATATATATATATATATATATATATATATATATATATATATATATATATATATATATATATAACACATGAGTCCATACTTGCCGTTACTTAAACCCAATATTAATTGAAATGTTAAAACATTATATGATAGCGATGCTTAAAAAGACAATTAAAAGTTCTTAAATAAACTTCAGATAAATGAATCCAATAATTAAAGTCTCCCTTAGGTACAATCCCTACCATACTATTAAGGAGTGTTTTTCTCTCCATCAAATTTAGTTTTGTTAGCTATTATCGTAGTCTCTATTAGTAATCTGTATACTATCATTCTATTCTTGCAGAGAAGTTGACAACTCTAAACTGTTGTTGTAAAACATATCTGTTGTTATACTTTGCTTGTCAACCCAATTACTGAGTAACTAATAAGTTGAATTTTCCATATTCATGTAATAATTTTTTCATTGTTTTAAATATGATTGAAAGGGAACTGTATATGAATTGGTAGCTCTCCTAATTATTCAGTGGTTGGAGGGCAGTGGCTGAGTGGTTAAGGAGTTAAATATTCACTCACTAAGTCCCATGTTTGAAACCCACTCTACTCCAGTTTAGGCGACCGGATTGTGTCACTCATAGATTTTTAAAGTGAAAGCTCACTAGGGTCTAAACAAATATGAGAGGGCATGTAAGTCAGTCAGCTACAACGTAGGACCAGGCACATATGTGCATCGGTCCAGGTTGCCATACCGCATCAGCACAACAAGATGAACACCGGATTCACAGCAGTGGTTAGGTCAAAGGTGGTAATATATAAGAGAAAGATTGCATATAGAGATATAGTACAAGAAGAAAGAATTGGTTCGTAGAAGGAAAGATATGAAGTGATTTTAATCTCTTAGTTTAAGGGAAGACAGGGAGTGTATACACCGACGCCATTGTGATCGATTCTGATCCATGTCACCAAGAGTCTTCAACCATTGGTTACGAAAGTCACGCGGACCCCAACCAAGTAGTCTGCATCTACCAACATGGCTCAGACTAGAAGTTAGTGTCTTCAAGCACTGATGCCACGTTTTGGTTTGGCCGCCCCTAACTTTCTTCCAACCATCTCCAATACCGGATAGCATTGCACGTCGTGGTAGTCGGTGTTCAGGCATACGTAACACGTGGCCCAACCATCTCAGTCGATGAAGATTCATAACCTCATCAACTGATTTGTCATCATTCCCTAATACCCTGCGTCGAACCTCACTATTACTTACCCGGTGATCCCAGCAGATGCCAGCAATATTTCTGAGGCATCTGTGGTCAAATACTAATACCTTACGAGTGTCTTCTACTCTTAATGGCCATGTTTCGCTACTGTAAAGTAAAACAGAACGGACTGCCGCGCAGTATACCTGTCCTGTAAGTACTTCACAGTCATTTATGTTGCGAAATGAAGATATCTCTTAGAACTTATTTGGGTCATATAAGGATGAGTCGATACGAACTGGTTTACATAATTCAACAGTCAATCAGGTCTTAGTCATAGACATCGTGAAGACTGATGCAAATATGTGTTAGTCCATATCGACATTCCTCGAATCATAGCAATGATTGAGGAAGTCAAAAAGATGTAAACGATAAGAGACGAAATAAGTGAATACCTATAACAGTCGAGTATTCGTTGTGGATCGATTTTGTATTTCTGAATTAGGAAATATTTGGATCTATGTGAACTAGATAGACGACGATTAGTACACAGCACTTCAATGATAATCCTTCACACCACTAGAAGAGAAACAAATCTTGTAAGGATGATGTACTGATTAATATTCCAGTAGAATTAATTTATATTCGAGTCAATGTAATCGTGTGACGATTATTGATTGAACATTAATTACATTCCTATCTGAGTGAGCAATACAAAGTCACAGTGGATTAATTCAGTGAGGACGCACTGAATATAAAATAACTTGGTGCATTGATCCAAGTGTAAATATATTGACGATTAACGAAACTCAATTCAAGTCAGTGTGTGAGTTTCAAAACATTCTTAAACATAGTATTTGAGGCTTTAGTATCTCCAGCAATAATCGAATAGCAAATATAATACGAAAGAACAAGTAGAAAGCATCCAATAGCACTGACCTTAAAATATAAGGTGAAAGTCCTCATAACTTCAGAATTCGATGAATAATATACTGGCTGTTAGTGCTCTTTCGAAGTCTCAGTTGAAAATATTCAACTGGCGATTATCATTTCAACTAGAACTTATGAATTACATCCGGCATTTCCAAACTATTTCTTATTACCAGGATTTGCTGTGCGTCAATACTGAGGGGCTCGTACGGGCCATTCGTATTTAAAAGACAGAATACCGAAACCACTGAATTAATCAACGACTTCAGACGAGACCATCACTAAAGTCTAGTCAAAAATTATTTAGTTGGTTGAAATTTTCATCAAATCGAATGCTTTATTTATGCTAACGGCTGTAGTATTTATTACATTGGTCGCTTAAACAAAATACTCATGAAAATAAGACTAGTACAAAGAGTAAGAAATTATTTTTAAGGAAGTACTGGTTATAAAGTTAGTTTTTGATATACCTGGAATATAACTTGATTATTAATGCGAAATATCTACGATGCATGCTGCTGATGAATAGTATCGGTTGAAATTATTAAGTGTAACTATAACTCTAATCTAGCGTCACCTCCATTACATGGCTAACTTCTAAAAGTAACGTTCTATAATCTTATGGTGATTTCTCGATTTTCTACTTTATGTCGATCCAATGAGATTAGTTCCCACGGATATAACATGATTAGATTTCAATATGAAGATCATTGGTAGTTGGTTTTGTGGTGCATATATTAATCATCTAATTAGAATTAACTCTCAGGGCAAATTTCATTTGAGAGTGAAGTTACGTATTCGAATTACTCATTGGTTTTTTAAATGATATTTAATAGATGCCTAATGCCTTGGTACGGCCGAGGGTGGGAAGAGTCAGTTCTCCCTCTCGAAGTGCTCTCACATGACCATGAATATACAGCCACTGCAAAGGAGTTCCTACCCACTCCCTTCTCGTGGAATTACTGTTGATTACGGAATTGAGAAGACGAAAAGCGAATGTCCGGCTCTTTAACCAGGTTGGTGGACACGGAGAGTTCACCTAGCGGAGTTGGAAAACGCTGATTCCGAACCAATGGTCCACATGGGCTCCAAGATAATAATGGAACAATTGGCGTATGAACCAATTGGTGATCACCGGCTACCATGGGACTGCATCTCCTTATGATTCTCCACTGCCTTGTGGAACAGACATTTAGGTCAAAAGCTCCGGGCGTGGCAGTCTATGGAAACCATCTGCTTCGGTTTGGGCACCAGGACAGTGACACAAACAAATCATGTGACTTGTGTGGTGCATATCTATTTGGTGTCCCTTTCTACAAATATTTATGTGTCAGTTGAAGCAAGACCACCATGGAAAACCTGTAAGCACTGGTGTTCAAACTTCAACTGACTCATGATCTTAACCATTGAATTTACTATAATATCCACAAAACCCATCTGATATCAAATATTTATGTGTTCAAATAAATAAATTGACGCATGATAAAATATCTTTAAAACTCTCAACTAATCACCAGAAACCCGTACGAATAACTATTAATTTATACTTTAATTGAAAATTCAGGAGTGATTTATAGTGTTTCTCAGTGAATGGCCTTCCTGAAAAACTCTTCACAATATTGGTCGCTTATTTATGTTCTACTGTCACAGTGTGGGAATTTTTCAGCTAATGGACTAAACTACGTATAGTTGATTTAAGTAGTATCATTAAAATAAAATAAATGCAGCACTTCAAAATCAGTCGCATACCTGAGACAACGGTGTAATAATGAAGAAGTATATTCAAACTAATCTGCTTAATAAATATTTGATAATCATTTATAAACCGAGTAAGTGACTTTGAGCATATCAGTGTAAAGAGAACACAGATATAACTAATGCTACTGTAAAGCTGTTTTCGAAAATTAGAACTCCGGAATCGGGTAGTAGTGAAAATTCCAAGAGATCCTCTTTGGTCAGATAAGTGATGTGTGGGCGATAATAATTACTTGTCTGCTTAGTCAGATATGTAGACAGTCTGACAGGTGTCAGACGAGTTATATATTCCCTTATCCTTATTATTATTTCCCACTCACTTATTATTTATTGTTCATTTTTGTTAGATTGTGTCAGGGTTTTGGTATGGAAATATATTTACATTGTGGCCAGGCTAATCACGTGTTTTTGGTCATCTGAGTTGTGTTGAAGTCCTGTAGAATAGACACTGGGAGGGGGATCTAGTGTAGATATTCATCTAAGGTAAATTAACGTTCCATACATGTAAACGTGGAAACACAACAGTTATAACATTAGACAAAGTAAAACCGAGCGTTATAACAATAAGTAAGATAACATTGTATTTGTTTCCATGTAGGAGCTGTTCCCCTTTCATGTTAATAAGTTTGTTGATGACTGGAAGACAGAAAGTGTCTAGCGATATTAATTATAGTTTACGTTTAAGAGATACCTCTTGTATTGTTTTGTTCAATGTATATCTTCAGTGACCATGCTCTAGTGGTTCTATTTAGTAACCCCACTGGATAAAGAACCACCACAATATCAACTCCTAATGTTTAGTTCTAGGTCTTGCAAAAACGGTTATACGAAATATATGTCCCATCGCTTGTCATGTTTGTAAAGTTATGCTTCAACATACGTTGTCTCTCCTCTCTAATAATGTTAGTGTAAATAACCAGTCACAATTTTACAAACTAATTAATTAGATGTCATGAATATGTAGTAAAGTTTGATAATGATCAACAGTGT